TGTTTATATAAAGCAGCATTTTATGTCCATTTTAAGTACTTTTGTTCTTATAAAGCAGCATTTTATGTCCATTTTAAGTACTTTTGTTCATATAAAGCAGCATTTTATGTCCATTTTAAGTATTTTGTTCCTATAAAGCAGCATTTTATGTCCATTTTAAGTACTTTTGTTCTTATAAAGCAGCATTTTATGTCCATGTCCAGTTCCCCCCGCGACCCCATCAGGGAATAAGCGGTATTGATAATGGATAAAGGATGGATGTCTCTCCTGGTGTGTTTCAGGCTGAATGTTTCTGGAGAAGTTCTGGTGATGGACATGCTGAACGGTGCGCCCGGTTCCCGCGGAGAACTGTTCTGCGCGGTCCAGATTCCCTGCAACCTCACGGTGGACAGCCCCGAGGGCCGGATGCTGAAGAGAAGCGTTCGGTCGGCCCTGATCGCTCCCTCGAGTTCCAGTCATCTAAACTCATCCAAGGTCTACGAGGCCAGCGTTCTGCACCACAAAACCAGCAGAAACCAAATCTATTTGCTGCTGTCTAAACAGTGCAGCTCCGATCTGGATGTGAAAAGTGGTGAATCACACCAAATGGAGGTGCAGTTCCAGGTGGACCGCCTCTCGTTCTGCACCATGCACAAAGCCGTAGACCTCCTTCCCGACACGTCCAGAGTGGTACCGGACCTTTCTAACTGCGCGGTTCCCGTCAGTAAGGTTTCCTGTGAGCTCAACTCGAAGCAGAAGTCGGCAGTTGACTTTATCCTGGGGACCTGTGATGGGAAGAAGCCGGTGGTGGCACCTCTCCTCATCTACGGACCCTTTGGAACGGGGAAGACTTTGACCCTGGCTACAGCAGCCAGGGAGCTTTGTAAGCACCCCCTCAACAAGGTGCTGATTTGCACCTACACCAACAGGTAAAAATTCAAATGACTTGATGTCCTGATTTGTTTTCCAATGCAGCAACGTGCCAGTTCCCGTGCGGTAACAAACATACAGTGGGGGAAATAAGTATTTGACCCCTTGCTGATTTTGCAAGTTTGCCCACTTACAAATAACGCAACGATCTATAACTTTAATCATATATACATTCTAACAGTGAAAGACAGAATCCCAAAGAAAATTCCAGAAAATCACATCATATGAATTTATAAAAACTGATAACCATCTGATGAGGAAAAATAAGCATTCTTTGTAAGTGGGCAAACCTGCAAAAGCAGCAAGGGCTCAAATACTTATTTCCCCCACTGTACTTAACCAAATGAGTATTAAAGTGTCCATACAATCACACCAGCAGTCATCTTGGAATCCCTAGTTGAC